AAGCCATTCCCTGTGTCCTGTCCCTCCATCCCTTGTCCAACTGCTGTCTTGGAGCCCCTTTAGGCACTGGAAGGGGCTCTAAGATCTCCCTGGTCCCTTCTCCAGGCTGAACACCCCCAGCTCTCCCACTTGTGTCTGTAGCAAAGTTTATATTCCCAACAGAAAGTTCCACAGAGTTCAGATCCCATATTTCCATTTGTCACACCTAGAGCTATGATTAGGGAAAACTCTATTTCCACTTACCCTGAAGAAAAACAAGCAGCAACAAGACATGGAAACCCTCTGGGAGTCTGAGCACTCCTTCAGGGGTTGGTCTTCAAGCCAAAGCTCCTCTGGGCCCTGCACCAGCTGAAGCTCCTCAGCCTTTGCTCACCTTTCCTCCATCAGGCGGAAAACACCAGGAGGAAAAGCCCCAGGAGAAGTGGTTCAATGCCACGTTGTGTCCAAAAAATTGCAATTTAACAACAGTGGCAAATATTTCCCTTGAAAGAGAGACCCAAACAAGCATCCCAAGGGAAATAAAGCTCTGATACTCACAGCCCACAGAGAATTCCCAACACATTTCATACAGGTTTCAGTAACTCAGCTCCAGAGACAAATCTCCCTCCAATTTGCTCCACTCCAAACTTTTTTTTTTTGCCTTCCCCAGAGCACAACCCTTGAGTGAAAGGGAATATCCACAACAATATGGAACAGGATGGAAAAACGAAGATCTCTGAGCTCTTGGGAGTCAGAGCTCAATCCTAAATACTCCTAATCCCACAGAGAAACCAGCCAGGATGTTGTACCAGGGAGTGAAAAAGTTTGTTAGCACCTGAGCACTCATTTCCCAGGCAACCACTGCCCCTCACAACTGATTTCTATTCTCACCAGATTAATGGTATTACCACAAGGAAATTAACCCCAAGGAAAATCAGGCAGGGATTATGTCTGAGGTTCTCCTAGTAAAGAAAATTAGGTTCTCATTAAAATCAAAGAGTTGAATTTTGGAAACCTTTCTATAAAACAGGAGCAAAACAGAGAGGGAAATATCAGCACTGCAATGTCCTGGAGAAACTGGAGGAAAGAAGGAGCACTAAAAGTAGCTAAAAAGTTGATTTCAGGTCATTAAATGGTGAATTAAATGAGATATTTTCAATTTGGGGTGAAAAAAATAAACCACTGAGATTTGTTTCATGCCAAGTTGACAAGGAAATGGCATTTTCCTGTTTAAAATGAGATGAATGAAAAATAGAAGTTGTCAGAGTCTGAGATTTTCCTGACTGCAGATATTCCATCTGTTCTAGTCCCAGAGGTTTGACCTTTCAGGCTTTGAGAACTTCCAGATTTTAAACCGGAGAACAGAAGAATATCAGTTGCTGGAAGTTGTTGTTGTGCACACCTGGGTATCCCTTCTGGGGGCAAATAATCCTCCACCCCAGAGTAAGATTTAAGATTTAGCTGCAAAGTGATCACAAAGCTCTGCAAATCCTGACCTGAAAGGTACTGAAGGAAACCACCACTAGGTATCACCATTTGACTATGGAATAGAGAACAGAAAAACTGTTCATGTTGATTTAGAGTGGAAAAATCTTAATTACCCTCCAGGTGCTCAGAGCAGCTGTGGCTGCTCCATCCCTGGGAGTGTTCCAGGCCAGGTTGGATGGGGATTGCAGCAACTTGGGCTAGTAGAAGGCATCCTGTCTGTGGCAGGGGGTGGGATGAGATGATCTTTAAGGTCTCTTCTAACTCAAACCATCCTGGGATTCTATAGTAAATGAAGTCATCTTCACTAGGGACTTAATTCCCACAGCCTGGAGCAATCTGGGGAACAACGTTGTAACTGCAGGTCTGTTAATCAGGGAGATTTATTAGAGGGCCCAGTTTACCCCAGGGTCTGGTCCCAGTACCTAAGCAACAATCCTCTGTGGAAACAAGGAATGAGAACTGGCTATGGAAAGAAAAATTCCTGCCAACATTTCTCCTCCAACATCAGTTTTTTTCTGGCTTGAGGATAAAAACCAACTCCAGGCAGAGTTTGGCCTGTCTGACCTGTGAATTTTGGCACTGCTCTCCCTTCCAATGAAACCCAGCTGCTGGAAAAGCACCTTTGCAGGGGTTTCCCTATGGAATTTGTGTTCTCTGAGGCATTTATCTGCTGGTGAAGACAGACACAGCTTCAGTGCAGCCCATGGAGTTTTACTCACTTAAACTCAGAGTAGGACTCAGCACTTTTCAAATCTAAATCAATCCAAGTGTGTCAGGGATTGAAACATGTTAATTATAATTAAAAGCTAAATAAAAGCAGTGTCTGAGTGAGTAATAAATGTATTTTCTTTCCAGAAATTCTCAGATTTTCCTCCTAAAATGGAGTCTGCAGCAACATCTCACTTTATTTCCCACAGAGACAATTTTGAGAAGTTATTTACACTTTGGATGAAACGAATCACATGGACTGAAAAAAAAAAGGATTGAATCACATGGATTTTTTTTAAAAAAAGCACATGGACAATATTTTTCCCTGGGCAAAACTGCACAGAATCAATAGCAAACTGTGTCTGTGCTGCCTCACAGTAACAATATGCTGTCTACACCTTTGTGTGCACAGGGAAAACACAGAGCCTTGTGCTAAGCAGCCACAAAAATCACCTCATTTATCTCCCAACACTCCTGTTGTGGCATTTCCTTTTCATTCCAGGTAAACTGTCCTTGTGTCTGACAGCCCTGAGAAGGGATGGGATGGACTCAGCTTCCCAGTGACCCCAGAGTGAGACAAACATGGAGAATTTGTTTGGTGTTCTCCTCTGCTGCTCCATTCCTGTCACAGGGATGGGGAAGTTGAACTCTCAGGGATTCTCCTAGTGCAGCAGCTGATGGTGATCCATTGGTTTACTACCCAGGGTTGGGAATGAGGTGAGCAGGAGAGCAGAGCCGGTTTTCTCCAGCACCGGAAGGCCAGAACAAGGCCAGAGTCTGGACCTCAGCTTTACCCTCCAACTTCCTCATCTCCTGAGGAAGGACCTTGTGCAATTACCTTCCCTGCAGCCCTTGGTCTGAGCTGTACATAGATCCCAAGGGGAACCAAAGGCTGAGGCAAAGCAGCACAGATGCCACAGAGCACTTTTAGCTAGGGCTAATTGCAAACCCTTTAGTTACTGAAGGTCTTTGGAATATTTTCCCTCTCACCCTCAGTTAACTCATTCTCTGCAGCTCTACCAAGGAAAACTGGAGACTTCTGCACACCTTGGAATTTAATGAAGTCATTTGGCCTCCTACAATGGTGTCCTGACTTGATTTGGAATGCTGAGAAGGGGATTAATGAGACACACATGGAATTAGGGTAATGCACAGTGAAGCAAATCATCCTTTATCCCATCAGACTCTTGGAAAACAAGGCCTAGATCCAGTATTACTTATATTCCTTGTCTCTAGGTCAACGGGAATTTTTGATCAATGATCTGGGATGTGTCTGAGTCTCCTCTTCCTCCTCCTTCTCCTTCTTCTCTTCCTCCTTCTCCTCTTCCTTCTCCTCCTCCTTCTCTTTCCCCTTCTCCTTCTCCTCCTTCTCATTCTCTTCCCCCTTTTCCTCCTCCCCCTCCCCAGGAATCCCCATGCCATGAAGGTGCACCTTGACACAGGTTCAGTTTATTAAGTTTCCATATATCTTTATTCTTCCAATCTCCTTCTCTGTATAGGCCAGAACAGCCCCAACTTTCAGTCACATCACAGAGTTTCTACTACAGCAAATACAACTAATTAGTAAGTGAAATGACTTGAGCTTTGAGGTGAATCCCTTAGGAATTCAGATCTTGATGTTCTGAGACTTTCAAGCCTACAGATGTTTTCTTTCAGCCCAGAGATGATTCTAAGAACAAATAAAGATGATGAATTAAACCAACCAACAAACAAACAAACCACAGGCGAAAACACCCAACAAAACACTTTCTTTACAAGAAAAACCTTCTGCAGAGCAACTCACAGTCCAATTCACTTAGCATTTCACAGTACTGATTCATTGCCAGCTGAAATATTTACTGAGAAGTAAGAGAAAAGGAAGAAAATGAGTGTGAAATTAACATTTCCATATCAAATCTGCATTCACATTTCCAAGTGAAGACTTCCTATACATAATACATACTAAATAACAGAGTCCTGGACACATTCACCTCCTGACAAGATCTTCAAGCCTAAGAAATCACTTTTCACCATGATCATGCTTTGCTGGAGCAAAATTTCACCCTAAATGTCCCAAATTTGGGCTTCTACTACATAGGCTGATCCAAAGTCCAGCAAAGAAAATTGGACTCTTTTGCTTCCTGCTGGATCAGTCTCTTAGAGCAGAGTTTTACCAGCAAACCTCTTGAATGATTTCTCTTGTGGGAGAAAATGTGACAGTATGTGGGAGGCTAGTGAAGGGACTCGAGCACCAGTGCCACGAGGAGAGGCTGAGGGAGCTAGGGGTGTTCAGCCTGGAGAAGAGGAGGCTCAGGGGAGACCTTCTCACCCTCTGCAACTCCCTGACAGGAGGTTGGAGTCAGGTGGGGGTTGGTCTCTTCTCCCAGGCAACCAGCAGCAGGACAAGAGGGCACAGACTCAAGCTCTGCCAGGGGAGGTTCAGGCTGGACATCAGGAAGAATTTCTCCATGGAAAGGGCTGTCAGGCATTGGAAGGAGCTGTCCAGGGCAGTGGTGGATTCACCATCCCTGGAGGTGTTCAAAAACCATGTGGATGTGACACTTGGGGACATGGTTAGTGCTGAACATGGTGGTGGATTCCATGATTCCATACACATTATAAAAACATGGTTAACTGTTATTTCAGAGAGAAATCCATTGGAAATTCTCTATCAGAAACCAGAACCCAGTGACCTTCCCTTCCCCTGCTACCACAGTCTGCTTTGAGCCTTCAAATATTGACCTGCCAAAGTCTGTAGTGTGTAAATGTTGTCATTTCCCAACCTAATCCTTAGAGTGAGATATTCCTATCCCAATCTTATCCATCCCTTCAGCTCAGCACCTCAGTCAGGATGTGAACTGCCTCCTGCAGCTCAGTTTCCCACACTCTGGGTTGGAGATTTGCAGGTTTGGAGTGCTGAACTCAGAGCTATTTCTGGTGGGAGCATTGTGCAAACTAAGCAAAGCTAAGGAGTGCAGGAGAGCTCCTCTGGCTTTGGAGCTTTCCATGTTGTGCTCCTGGGAGAGCTGGAAGCTGATGTGGTTCAGGTTGTTCCTGATGAAGCTGCAGGAGAGGAGGTTTGTTACAGAACCACACCTGGTCAGGTTCTCCTCAAAGAACTGCTTGTAGAGCTCTGCCACTTTTGTCTCCATGTACTTGTTGAGGATGGAGTTGGAGAGAGGCTCCTCACACAGCACAATGCTCCTCTCTCCAGCTTCATCTTCAGGCAGGGACAGCACACTGGGCTGCTTGGGATGCTCACAGGGAGGGGACTGGCCAGGGGGGATGTCTATGGAGAGTAAGACAGGGCCATCAGGCAGCTCATCACACACATGGTCCAGGACACAGCCTGAATCACAGGTGTGACCCCCCACACGGTCCCCCCCGATCTGCAGGTCAGGGTAGTGGTGGTAAATGCTGTTGCATGGCCAGGATGTGTACAGATCCACCTGGGCTGTGCTCAGCTCTCTCCTGGGGATACGTAGAGCTGGGGATACAGTTCCTCTAACAAGCACATCCTGATCTTTTGCAGGCTCCTCCTTCATGGATCCCCCTCCAGGACCTCTCTCTGCTTCCAGTTTGCTGCTTCTAGCACACAGCTCATCTTGCTTCTCACATCCGTCACCAAAGACTTGAAGTTTTGGGATGTCTGCAAGTTTCTGTCTCCAGATTCCCTCTTTAGGCTTTTGGGATGCCGGAGATTTGGGAGGCTTATCTTGATGGAAGCTTTCTCTATAGATGAGCCGTGTTAGGATTCCTTCAGCCAACATGACAGCAAGTGTGAGCAACAGGCTGATCACCTCAGCTCCATGAGCACAGGCTGAAAGGAGGACAGGCAAGATACCTTAGTAATGTAATGATAAAAAGGAGAAGGAGGAGGAGGAGAAAGGAAGGAAGAGAAGGAGGAGAACAAGGAGAAGGAGGAGGAGAAGGAGGAGGAGGAAAAGAAGAAGGAGGAGAAGGAGAAGAAGGAGGGGGAAGAAGAAGAAATAACAATAATAATAAAATTCACAATGCACTTTATTAAAATATTGTGATTTTCCTTTTTCTCTTGAGTATTTCTTTCCAGTAAACACTCAGCTCTGACCTCTTTCCCATACCCACAGAAATCTGGTACAATCAATGGGAGTCTTAACATTTAGAGCTGAGCCAGGTCCAGACTCACTAAGGAAAATATCATCACCACTCGTCTCATGGAGGAATAGGAGAGATGAACACAAGAAAATAGTTCTGTCCTCCAAATATCTTTTTAATCTCTGCATAATTCAAGTATCTTCACACTCCCAGAGTGTCCTCATGGCTGGAAATGGGGGGAGAGGTAAGGAGTGGTGGGGAGGTGTCACTAGGGAGGGCAGAGTAGCTCTCCCAAACCCCATGACATACTGGTGTGGTCTCCACTCACTCCACAGACTCCACTTCCCTCATGGACAACATTCAATGCTTTTGGGGGTTCAAAGGACTTGTTATTGCCATTCCATGATTCTATGGTTCCAAGCACTGAGCCACCAGCTTGACTGAGTTCCCTCCCTGAAGCTGAGGGAACTTAGAGGCTGAAGCAGCCGAGAAAGGCAGCACAGCTGGGTAGCTACAGCATCATTTCCAGAGGCAAAAAGCAGGACAAAACACTCTCAAGCACTCAAGGTGCTCAGGAAACCAGTTTCTAAAGGGAGAAAGGTATTTGGAAGTCTAAATCTTGGTGAAGGTCGATGGAATTTGGAATGCTGATGCCTTGTAGTATATGGTAACCAGGTTATCACTCAGGTCCTTAACTGCTAAGAAATGTTGGTGCATTGATTTGAAACTGTTCACGTAGAGCTAAGATCTGGTAATCTTAGCCAAACTGCTTTCTCTCAAATAAAGTAAGTGGAACAAAGCATAGAATCACAGAATCATCAGGGTTGGAGGAGACCTTGAAGATCATCAAGTCCAACCATTAACCTCTCACTGCTGGAACTACTAAACCCTAAACGAGATCCAGACACCTCTTAAACCCCTCCAGGGATAGTGACTCCACCACCTCCCTGGGCAATATCCCAGGGCCTCAACATCACAACAGGGAAAACATTCCTCCTAACATCTCATATGAATCTCCCAGCAAAGCATAAGGCAAAAAAAAGGCCCCAAAAGCCCAAACTTACCAACCCCAGTGGATATCCCTGAGCTCAGAGCTCTCCTGCCACAGCTGCTGCAAGAGAAAGCCTCTTACATACTTGTCTGTGTGGAAAAAAGCCTGACTCACACATGATGTAGTTCCCCATATCTTCCCTGTAAAACAGAAGTGATCCTGCTGGAAAGGTCTCACCCAGAGTGAGAGTAGAGGCTAAAAGAGGATGTTAGAAGCTGAATTGAGACGTTCCTGATCATGGTGTGATGGCAGTGAGTTGCTGACTGACACAATAGTGCTCTTCAAAGCAACAGAGGCAGAGGAAGGGGCAGAGGGGCTGTGCTGCATGAGGCTCTTCCAAACTGGGGCTGAATTCCAGCAGACAATCCCATGGGCAGGAGCTGCTGTCCCACCCAGCTGGGTTACAGGGCTGTGCTATCTGCACTGCCTCCCCTTTGGAAACACAGGGTTAAGTTTAGAGTCTTGTGACCTTCTGCTTATGGCAGAGAAGTTGCTAATTTCATTTCGTCAGGATTTTGAGGAAATATCCTGTGTCTGTAAGACACAAAGAGGAGAAACTGCTGCTCTGAGAGCAGTAGCCACTGAGCAGCTGTGAATGGCCATGTTGCTAATTGAGCAAACCCACTTTTTTTGGCTCAAAAATCGGGTAGAAGAAAGCTCTACAGAGAGACCTGGACTGACTTGATCAGTGGCTGAGGACAATGGCATGAGGGTCAGTAAGGCTTACATCCCCTTATGACTAATTTCTGCCCAGGAGATGTGGTTGAGACCTCACCACAGTCACTGCCCACAGTCTAGGGGGTAGGAAACAGGGTGGTTTGAGTTCCATATAATGTTAAACCTCACCTTGCAATTAGCTGCAGGTGGATTTATTTTTTTTGGTGCAGCTGTTTCAATAAAACACACCAAATTATTCATCTGGAGTGATTCAAACCAAGTCACCTTTCTTTTCAGTGTACTCAGCAACATGAGCTGAGGGAAGGTGTCCGCAGGGGATGCGATGAGCTTCAAGGTCCTTCCAACCCAAACCAGTCTGGGATTCCTGTGTTAAATGCACCAAGATCTGAGGAAATCAGTGTGTTTTTGTGAGTAAGATCTTACAAAAGAAGCATAGACATTATGTTTAGAAAAATAAGAGCAGAACAAGGTAGAAAAGGAGTTAGTTCAGATGCTGAGCTCAGCCTGGTTAGGAGGAACAATGACAGCAAAATATAGAGGCTAAATATAAAACTGCATGGATAAAGATAGAAATTTCATTATAACATTCACATATAGAAGAAATAAATATATCATTCATACATGGAAAAAATAACTAATGCAACATCGTGCATCACCAAACACAGGTGAATTACACAAAGTAGCACTGCATGTAAACAAAGTTGCTGTTTTCAGCCTAGATGTGTATTTTACACAAACACAAAACAGACATGGACAGCCTAAGCTCTGTTTTTCAAGCACAGCTGCTGCAGCTCCTTTATTCCCCACTTCAACAGAAAAATTCCCTGGCACAGCCCAACACGGAGCTCTCACACCCCATTGCGCTCAGCCCCTGCTGCAGCCCCGGGGAGCTCCTGCTGGCAAAGGGCAGAGCGCTTGGAGTAGGAAGCAGCACGGGGCGAGCACAGCGCGAAGAGGCAGCGATGGAAGGCACAGGAACGCGGTGTGAGGGCGGAACATCTCCCTCAGCCAGGGCAGCACAGCGCCCGGCCATGCCACCCTCACCGCCCCGCGCGCGCCTCAGCCCGCGCCTCTTAAATAGCGGAGGGGCGGGGTTAGCCCTGACTGACAGCTGTCTCGCCCAATGGGAAGGCGGTT